TGACATTGGAGTTGGCATTGGCGGCGGCTGCGGCTGCGGCTGCGGCGGCTGCGGCTCCTGCCATCGCTGCAGTGTTCGCCAACACGGATTTCGCCTCGGCATCACGCTTCACCATGCAGGAGTGTAAATGTGTGATTAATCGACGACGCAGATCGTCACAATGTGCGTCGACACCCTCGAAGGCGGCCAGAAACCGGGTCACTTCGGAGAGGCATTCGTGAAATCCGGAACGACGGTTCTCCAGGGCTCGAGTCTCGGCAGTCACCACGTAACCTGTGCCAGATTGAGACACGGCAGGGGATTTTCGTTACATGAATTCTTGTAAATACTTTCATTTGGTGTCATATTGCCTGGGTTACAGTTAAGTGATGGCTAGACTGTCGCTTAATTTCAAGAATTTATTAATTATTTATTTTTCGTTTTAAAAGTAAGGTTTCGAGACTATCAGTAAATGAAATATGAGAAGCACTAAAGGTTGAATTTTCCCACAATCATATAATTATAGAAGTGGATTGATCTCGCTGTAGCAACTTGGTCTTGTTGTCAGGGCGACTTAGTAGAAGGCACCTAGTCCGAAGTCGTTTGCCATATTAGTTGTCATGATTACCAGCATCGGACAGTGGACTTGGTACATTCTCAAACGTTTCACTGGCTTAGTCAGCATCATCTCTGACCACCAGGCGCCCAAAGTTGTACTGGTTTCTTCGAAACGGACATCACTCAATGACAACGTTTTCGCTTGAATACCGAAACGAAGACGCCAGTGGATGATGTCCGTTTCGAATAAACCAGTACAACTTTGGGGGCCTGGTAGTCAGAGATGATACTGACTATGCCGGCGAAACGTTTGAGAATGTACCAATTTCACTGTCTGATGCTGGTAATCTTGACAACGACTATGGCAGACGACAACCGATTAGGTGCGTTTTACATAGTCTCCCTGACAACAAGACCAAGTTGCGACAACAAGGCTAACCCACTTCCATATAATTATACTTTACAGTTCCATTAAAGTTCCAACATCCGCTCTTCCCAAAAGGTGCTCTCATCTAGGGTGGATTGCAGTTTCTACCTCGCCCAGGTTTATCAATACTCATGGCGGGCTTCGAACCTTGACAATGTGGCGTGTGATCTCGACAAGATGCAATCTCGTGATGATATAGCGTAGTGGTTAACGTGTCATGGTTCGAGTCCCGCTTGTGGTGTTGATAATACCGAGTCAAAATCGAGACTGCAGTCCATCCTGGTTAAGAGCACCTTTTGGGAAGCAATTATATGTGAAATTCAATGGAACTATAAGGTCTAATTATATGATTGTGGAAAAATTCAGTTATCAGTCTGTCAACCCCTTAAACCAAATAAGGTGATAGCTCGACCTCGTTTTCGCAACCGGTCGCAGCGTCAGGAAGACCTTGTACAATGTATCTAGTCTTGTGTCTTCTGCCGCAGGATTCGTGATCTCCAGCATCGGACCAATGACTTGGTACATTCCCGGCATCGTAGCCGGCATTGTCAGTGAGAGGTGTCATCATCAGCACAGAGTTACAATTTACCAAAGTGATAAATGAAGGCAATTCCATTGACCAATTTTCCGTTCAACCATCCGATGCTAGACATCACGAATTGTATGGCAGAGGACACAGAACTAGATACGTTCAGTAAGATCACTCTGATGCTCGAACCAATTTGCGAAAACGAGTTTGAACCAACACTATAAAGCTAAATTGACCCAAAAGAAGGCCACACTATTTTGGTCTACATATCTACGAAATAGTGTGAATTTGTCTCATCTATTTATTATTTAGTCCGTTCGTTGGTTCGAAAATTCGGGTGGAGGAAATTAATAAATTCTCCTTACCGGATTTTGTGATCCTCATACATACATGTTGAGCCTTCGTCCATCACATGTGTGCGCGTGTGCGCGTGTCCGCATGTGCAATATTTGACTCAGGTGAAGTATGATGGCCATAACCAGATTCGAATTTATATCAGTCACTATTTACGAAAAATACAACCCACACACCAACGTGAAGAGATCTTTTCACATTCCATCCGTCTTCCGCTGGGTTTCGAAGAATCTCTGATTAAATGGATGCCGGTATACCTTTCATTTGAAAAGGCGGGTGGAAGGGATTCATAAAGTCGCCTGACCTGACCCCGAAGGTGGGTTGTGAGAAGAAGTCTCCGTTTGGTGATCCAGATACATCCGTGCTTAGTTTTTGTCTCTTTTTTTAATGACCCCTCAAAGCCAGAATGCCCCAGTTACGAGCAATCACTAAGACCTAAGTCGCATTGTAAGCGAGGCCTAGAAGAACGCACCTTATCCAGAGTCTTCTGCCATAGGATCC